CTGCAAGAGAGAAAGGTCTGGCTGTGGGGGGGATAAAATCAGATGAAAAGTTACTACAGGAAAAAAAATAAATCTCGGTAGCTGTTTTCTCACTACGCGTGGTAAAAAGGGGAGAAGATGAGGAGCAAGAAGTTACTGAGGGCGTGCAAAGTAAAGAAGAATTTCTCTTTAAATTAAATACAAAAACAAGGAATCGATGGAGATAGTATTTAAACGCTGGCAGTGTTGCATTCGTAGACAAAGCCTTGATACATATCCGTATATTTCAACACACATAGAAAACATCACTTTAAAACACACGTTTTGAAAGATGTGGCGGTGCCCATTCCGGTTATTTAAAAGCACGGAGCAGCTCGGATCAGCCCGCACGGCCCACCGCAAGCAGCGGCCATCAGCTCAGTCCTTCCTGAGAAACGAACCGCCACGCTTCAAGCGCAGCGCCCGCTCAGAGGGCGGCAAGACGAGCGACGCCGCGGGATCTCAGAGCGACAAGCGCGGCCCCGCGGGTGCAGCGTCCGCCCCACAGCGTTGGGGTAGCGCTCGGAGCCGCGGTCACGGAGCGGGAAGGCAGCACCGGGCCGCGGTCACCGCCGGAGGGCGCGACCCCGAGGCTGTGGGCGGCGGGGGGGAGGAGGGAGTGGGGGACGAAGGGCGGCGGGGCCGGGCGCCGCGCACTCACCGGCGTTGAGCACCTTGAGGGCGGTGAAGGCGGCGTTCTGCAGCGCCAGGTCCTGCGGGGCGGCGCGGGAGCAGTGGTACTTGATGAAGGGAAAGCAGCCGGTGCGCAGGACGTGGTAGTTGGCGCCGTCCACGCGCCAGTTGAAGTGCGAGAGGCCGAACTGGTCGTTGCGCACCGCGCTGTACTTAACGCAGTACGACGTCCAGTAGGGCAGGCCGCGCCGCCGCAGGTGCTGGCTCAGCACTTCCGAGGCGTCAGGGCGGGCCGACGCCTCTCTCCCCCACAGCAGCAACCCCACCGCCGCCTCGTGCAGCCGCCTCAGCGCCTGCATCCCGCGGGCCGCCCCGCCCCGCTCTCTCCGGCGGGCACGGCCGGCGCGCGTGCGCGAGGCGGGCGCGTTTCCCGCGCATGTGCCGGCGGCGCGCGGCGCTCCGACCTTTGGGCGGGAAAAGGCGCTGAGGGGCGGCGCGCTGCAGCGCTGTGAGGAGCGGCGTGAGACGCGCGGTGTCCGGTTGTACGAGTAGCTCAATAAAAGCCGGGGTTTGAACTGCCAGCCGTTCTGCTGGAGGAAAATTGTACAGAAGAGCGACAGATTTTTCCTTTAAATAATTACAGAGAATATCTCACACTCAGCAGTCTTAAACCATTGAGCTATTCTGAGTTACCACCAACAACGCGCCCTGTTTATTTACTGCAATGCGCAGTATGTCTGTGGGACCAGTAATTAATAATCATCAAACTCACCTCCCATAATTAATAGAGCATAGAACTCCCTTTGGGATCTATCTTTATTAGCAGCAGCAGAGGCCAAGGATGGGAGAGGTGGGAGCTGAGGTGAAGGGCAGAGCTGTGATACAGTGTGTGAGGGACCCAGTGAGCATACACTGCCTATCCAGCCAGCAAACCTCATCACGGGTCCTTGGAGTTATTTCAAGATACTTTGCTGCTACAAATAAACAAAGGGAGAATTCTTCAGTTCCAGCAGCAGAACTTCTTGCTGACTGAGCGAACGCGGCTGTATCCTCGCTGAGACAACATGGCCTGCACATGGGGTGAAGGACCCCTGCATCTTCCAGTGCACAGCAAAACACTGCCTGCTCGACAGTACTCAGGAATCAGGACCAGAATGACTGTTCCTTAAAGGTGAAGATGGAACTAGCATGGAGCATGCTGTCAAAAGACTTCCATTAACATTTAGCTTCACAATAAGGTTTCTGTGCGCGTTGGATTCTGGTGTAGTCAGGCAGTTCTGGTGGTGCCATTTTTACGTCTTACATTTCCAGGGATTTGTTACTTTTTAGCTGCAAATTCTCCTGAACTTACTTTTTAAAGACCAGATTTTTTAAAGGAAATGGGACGTTAGGAAAGATCTCCCATCTGTTGCTCACCTCTGCTGCTGAAGTGCACTCTCCAGCTCCAGATGTTTGTGTAGTCAATGCAAAGAAGCAGAGCTTCTACAGCAAGGAGTATTCCCAAGCAAACTACAGAGTAGCACACAGCAGCTGAGTTATCGTTAACATCAAAGCCAACAGCAAGAGCCACAGAAACACACGATGGCCATGACATGCACTGCTTCAATGTCCAAGGTCTGAGGAACACCCTACAGGACAGGAACAGCACTGTGCATGGAGGTGACGGGACTTCATACAGATGTGAGGCAGGTTGGTGCTTTGTGCATTTTGCATACTGGTGGGGAGAGAACATAGGCTACAGTCTGTCAGTTCTTGCACAACCATGATTAACACAGACGTCATTTTAAAAAGCCGTTGAGATTCATGAAATGCTATCAACTGAACGCGTGTCTTCATTTGCAGCCATCGCCCACTGAAAGCATGATACCTTTATTTTAATTGTCTGTCTTCTGCAGCTGATGCCCAGCCCCACTGCCCCTCCTGTTCTTCCACAGGCATTCCTCTGCACCTTGCAGCTGGGGAACCAGCCTGGGCTCTTGCTGTCATCAGCTGCAGAATTCTTTGGCAATTGCTGATGAGCAGCTATGCCTGGGTCATCTTTTATCTCTTGATTCCCACATTTCCCACTTGCTGTGTTTCTTCCTAGTCTAGATCCTATTCCAAATACTGCTAAAATTCCTGCTATGGTTCAAGAACTCTGGGCATGGAAGCAAATATTTCCATAGTCAGAACAGTAGAACACTAGCTATATTTCTGACTTCTTTTTGGAAGATGATGATTTCAGTTTATAGCTGTTGTATTAAAAAAAAATACACTTTTGGCACCAGCAGCATGGGAGTTGAATGTGAGAGACTGTGAAGCATTTTCAATCCATCCATCAGCTCAACACTCAGAAGTGTTAATAGTAATTAAAAACTTTTTTCCTCGAAATACATTTCACACTTTGCACATACTGAGAGCTCTCTCTCACCATGGGAACTTTCAGATCACTTGTCCTCTGCAAAAACAGGTACAGTTGTCTTTTGTCAGAATAGAACAAAGACATAAGGAAGTGCAGGTTTCATTTACTCCTAGGATACTGAAGTCTATTAAGTGCCAGTGAACTAATGAGCCTCTCAGACCTTATGTTGTTCTGGCTTGGATCAAAGCTTAATTTTCCTTAACCCTTAAGAAACTAGCTGACTCCTAGGCTGATACTGTTGTGTTCTTCTATACCTCCTAGCGCAGATTTCTGCTTTTTTCTTTTTTTCTATGTATTTCTTGGCAAGTGAGAGATCACTGCTATACTTTCCACAGCCAAAAAGACCTATGTTGTTTTCATTACGAACCACAAAAACTTGTACGGAGGACGTTCGCTGGCTAAATTTCACATTACAAAAATTTGTGTAAAATTTATGTGGAAAAAAACAAGACAACATTGAGATGATGTCAGAAAAGGTACAAGAACAAACAAGAATTGAACAAAAATATGCTTAGATTTTTAGTTGAAACCCATCTGCAAGGAATGACTTGTGACTAAGTAAGAAGAGAAAAATGTTAACACAAAAGGCTGTGTGTGAAGCTGGGAGGTCAAAGACTCAGAGGCACTGGAAAAAGTAGATGCCCGTCTCTCATTGCTTGCTCACATTCATAACTTGTCTTAAAACTGATTTTGCCTGAGGCTTTGGGTACTAAGTCCAGATCTATTTGCCATGCATAGTACAATAATAAGCATCCAAGGGAGAAAGATGAGCTCTTCTACAGTACAATTTAGAACGCGTTTTCTTTTGGGATAAGGTTACGGATCTGATGGACAAAGGTACAAATGTAGCAGTTGTTCTCAATGTAACAACACACAGTAATTCTGATGAAAAAGTCAGCAGTATCTGAAATACAGAACGCATCTGATGAAGAGGTCTGCAAAAGTCACAGCATACTGGGAATTATAGTACAAACCTGATTCTCAGAATCTGCTGTTGCATCAATGTTATTACTATTATTTTTCATAATTTGAAACTGAGTATAAAATAACTGCTGCAAAAGCTTGTAGATAATAAAATACAGGAATGATAGCAATAAAGACATTTGGTTCTAAAGAGGAACCTGAGATGCTGGACTTCTGGATAAGAAAGCAATAAAGTAAATTGTTTACAGGTAGAAGAACCCAGGACTTACTCCTATATTGGAAGCCTGTGTTTTAGTAAACAGCAGGTCCAAAAGGGGTGTTTGGGATCCCAGGACTATGTTCAATCAGGAATGGTCTGGTGATCTGATATAGAGACTGACGTAGGATGGTACCTCTACATACATGCAGGGAAGCATTAAAAAGCAGAGAATGGCATTTTCATTTTATCACACCAAAAACAAAATTACTGGAATACTTCATGAGGTCTGGGTACACCGCTTCTATGGGAGCGTTAGCAAAGCAAATCTCACTTAGGATTTTTGATTCTAGGAACAGAAAGGTTTGTTCCACAGAAATGTGTCATTTTACACCAAACAGTTCCTCATTTTCTCAAACAGGAGCGTAACGAGATCCAACCCTGGAAGCTGAAGTCAAGCAAATTCAGACTAAGTGTGAGGCAATGGCTTTAAGACTAAGGACAGTTCACCAGTGGGGGAAATAGCTAGGGATGTGCAGTGGACTGTCTGCCTCCATGAACCTATCTTTGAAGATAGCTCATGAGGATACAGAAAGACCATTTAAGCTGTAGGCTTGGTGAAAGTATAAATATATATATATATATATATATATAAATATATATGTGGCCTGCAGGTCAGAGTACATCATCTCTCCTTTAGAGTCCAAGATTCTATTAATAAGGTTTTAAAAACAAATACTATATTTCAGGACTCGCCATATGAATATTAGGGACATTTACTATGATTCTCTGTTTTTGAATAGTTTATTTTGTGAAATAAGGGCTATTTCTGTGATTACTGTATTCAAAAGTCATGGATACTTATTGTCCCAGGTTATATTCACATGCCAGCACAGAAGGAAAACCAAACCTGTTCTTACAGATGAGAAAGCATTTCCAGAAGCATAAAGAGCACTTAAACATCTTCTGTTAACTATTCTTTCAGAGCATCTGCTTTTGAAGGATGCTCTTCTTTCAATTTCAGTTTGTTTTCTGCTGTAACTCCTAGAATTGCTTCAATATCCTGAATTGCCATCTGTAACAGATTCAAGGAATGCAAGTTATTTAATGGACATTATAATGAAATCTAGCAGCCAAAATGCACAGCTGGTTCTACTTGCTTCCAAAAGGTAAAAAGTGTTCCATAGGAGAGGATGCAGCAAGTAAATTTACTATTACTTTGAGTCTGCTACAATAATATAAAGTATGTACAAAACTTTGAGAAATAAAAATACATTTCCTTGCACTTTGTATTTCTAATCAGCTAACAGGTGCTTTATTTCACAGATGTAAATCAGTGTTAATTCACTGTGACGATTTCCCTGTGATATTTTTCTTCAGTGGCTGCTTTTGGCTCCCTCAGATTGAAAAAAAGAATGTATATTTTGTTTTTCTGAAACAGGATGAAATTTAATTATATCTTCTCGAAAGCTCTCATTTCACAGTCTGCTTATCAGAGGAAAATACTGTCAGAGGTAACACTGGAAACGGTCTGACAAGTGATGTGATGTGACTTCAGTGTGAATCCGAAACACGGTGCTCCCCTCCACCTTTCTACAAAATGCTTACAGACAAAATCTCAGAAACTTTGTGAAGTTAAAGGTCGCATAGTTTAGCACAAGAACTGCCTCCAGAAGGCTCTTTTTGGCAGCCGGGTTGTCACAAAGGAGCTTCAGAGGCACTCCTGGGGAACGGTGCCAGCGTGCCAAGCCTCAGCACTTGGTCCTGCCTCCACGGGCAGCTCCTGAGCGCATCCTCTGGCACACGGGGGTGGGCAGTGTGGGCAGACCGAAAGGGCAGAGAAACACGGGGAACAAAAGCAATGGCAAAAATGAACGGAACCAAAGTTGAAGGATGTGAAGTAACAAACTGAGTGCTGTGAGTCTGCCTGCTTAAATCAGAGTTAATAATCTAAGGAGCAATTAAAAACGAGAAGCTTGTTTCTAATTTAAAATTCCTGCTTTGATGATGTTTCCTTAAGACAAAATAGACAATTGAGACAGAACTGTCTGAAGCAGCGCCAATAACTCCTTTGCTTCTTACGAGGGAAAATCAGGAGCACTGCATTGTAAATGACTTCAAGCTGCAGGATGCCTCTTCTCAAAGAAAAAGTTTCAAACTTAAATTTAACTAACAGGTTCCTTGGGAGACTGACTGTATTGACCTAGGCACTGTAAAATACATACTGCGAGCAATAAGAAAGGAATGCTTTAGCACTTGTTTATGATACAGCATGAGGTATTTTCAGCCCTCGTGCAGAAATTAACCAGGATCGTTAGTTAATTAACACCTCACCTTAAAATTGGTCTCGCCTTGCATATTAGGTGCTGATATTTCTTGATGGATGATGAAGAGATTGCGAGCAAAGGTCATGAGGACCCCCTGGAGATCCTCTCCGATTGTTCTGTTAATGATATCCAAACAAATGAGTTTACCAATGATTCCCTTCACATGCTTAAAAACAATCGCCCTCTCATTTGTGCCTGTCTGGTGATGGAATTTAATGAGGATTTTCAATCTCACAAGGTGGCAATCTTCAGGGAGATATGAAAGATGAGGCTCCATTTTAACTTGTCAACAGAAAGGATTTGTGTAATAAATAATTTTTATTAATCAACAGCAGAGGTAAGCAGTAAGGTTTCAGTTATTCCAAGTAAAAGACAGTCGTTGAGTTAGGAGTGAAACATCAGAACACTTTAAATACCTGGATTAGTTGTGAAGGACTGTTAATTCTGCCTACAATTTGTGAAAGACATCTAAAAGGCATTTCAGCAGTGTCTGCATTTCTTAGATTGCTGTATCCTTCTTAGAAGTACAAACGTTACCCTGTGAGGATTTGGGTTCTCAGTGCTACAGACACACTGTCAGGAATAGGATATCACTCTGAAGAACAGTGCTCCTCGTTTGCTCACTGGAGCTGACAGTAGATCTCCAGTGTAGCAAAGTGGGTTATACAGATGCTTTAGGTATGTTGGTGATGCCCTATCACATTATATCCTTGAAAATTCCACATTAAGATACTGAAATTGCACTGGAAAACTAGTGGAAGACAATCTAGGATCAGAATATATGGCAAATACATGACAGCGTTCTTACTAATTTATTATTACAACTGGCAACCCAAGCTGGTGATGCAGGAGGTGGTGGTGTTTTTCACCAAGGGGAGCAACTTCTGAAGTATTATCCTAAAGGAGTCAGAAAGAATGTAGGCAGGATGCAGTATCTCTAACATACGGGCTCTATTTTCCGAGGCACGTGGCTAATAATTAAAGTGAAATCCCTCAGGTGGGGACAACCTCAACAACCTCCAACAGCTCGCAGACTCCTAAAAGGACAGTTTACCAGTGATCTTGTCTTCAGTTTCTCCACATTTATCTTGCATAACTCCCATACTTGCTATCTACCTGTCTCTGCACTCATTCTGTTTTAGCCTCAAGGAAAATTAATCCAATGAAAGACAGCTTTCAGCTGAGTTATTGAGCCAGATCAACTCTCAGAGGTGCGAAAGTACCAAAGTCACTACACTTGTTTGTTTTCTGCATGACTTTTGTTAGCACCCAAGCCAGCACACACTGTGGTGCCTCTCTTTTCAGATCAGCTGTGTTCCCAGCTGCTTATCAGTCTGCATCACTGACAGTGTTTACTTACATCATTCCCAATCTGCATCGCTGCTGATCGTCATACAATATAAAAACAGTTCCCTGTTTTTCCTGTGAAATAGAAAGACAAATCTGCTTTAATTATTCCTAACGTAGTGATAATTATAACAAATACATTGGACAGTAGATCATCATGTCTAAGAAGTTTGGAATTGTGTGCAATGGATTATTGCTCAGTTAAGTAGATTAATGCTCTAATTATTGTAGAGAATACAATATATTAACTCCATCTAAAAAGAATACACACATCAAAGTCCATTCAGTAGGAAATACTTCTGTTCTAGTGCAACAAGAGATGGTCATAAGAACCTTATAACTGTGTAAAGAGACAATTTTTATTATCAAGAGACAAGTTAACCTCTAAAAGCTTTATCCTTGCTTTCATTTAGATGGTGAAAAAGTTTAGATTTTCCTGTTCTTAAATTTTGTTCTGATAAACACCGGGCTGAACTTTGTTAACCTCTGCTCTGGTTCATCATGGGCCCGAGACTCATGGCTGCACTGGCAACAGCTGTCACATGGCACCATGAGAGGGCTCATGAACAGGTGCCATTCCTGGGGAGAATTTATACTGAGAAAACACAAAACACTCTGTGTTTCCCAATGAAACCCTGTGCCCTGCATCTGAAATCTCTTGCCTGCTCTTCTGTCCTACCTAATACCCTCTACATTCCTTAAACTTTATTATTTTCCTTGTATAATTCTGTTCATAAGCCTTAAGCACTTCCTTTCCTAGCAGACTGCATTTTCATTTCTTCATGCCTCTCCTGTTCTCCCTTGTCACCTGACCTCTTTGCCTCTGGAGGTGTATTTTACAGTATGTGTACACATACAAGTGAAACGGCCTTGTTAGGCCAAGTGCTGTTGTGAAAACCCTGTGCCAGTGTTGTCCTAAGCCCAAGCACAGCCCCGGCTGACGGCTACAATCCTGTTTGCCCACACTGCTGTGCAAATAAACCAGCCAGGAGAGCGTTCTCTCTGTAGTCTCCAGGAGAGCAGTGTCTCACTCTCTGGTGTGCAACTTAGACACGTGGTAGCACTCTTCATCCTTGGCTCCTTCCAGACAGAAGCCAAAGCAACAGACATCTCAGTACTGTGCTTTTTCAAGACTCATATCCCAGATGAAGAAAGCTACCAGGGGTTGGTCGTAATACCAGAGTAATTTCTGCAGCAACAGGTGAAGACTTTCACTCAACTTAGAGTTCATTAGTTAGCATCATGATAACAATTTAAAATAAAATTAATGGTGATGAATTCTTATAAGTCCTCTTGAACATAACTCCAGTCTAAACACACAGCAAGGAGCTAGCTCAGCAGAACACTTTATATTACGCTCACCCATATACTTCAACTTTACCTTTTTCCAAATGGTTTCACAATGTGAGAAGTTACATACAAAAATTATACAGAATGAATATCGTGACTTATAGTCTTCTTACCTGGAGGTCAAATCCAATCCCATGAGCTTTACACATCTGCAGGAGAACACTGTAGTAGATGACTGAAAGACTGGAGTGCCTCAGCTGACTGCTTGCTACTGCATAGCGGCTCCTTCCTGGAGAAGGCTGGAGAGAACAGCACAAGTTTCTCTGTTTTCATGCCATTTTATATCAGAAACTAAGATGATTCTATCTAAATAATTCCCCTCAGTTTCACTAGTGTAAGCATGAGCTCGGGCCGCTGATTCCTTCTGGAGGAATTCCTGTTTGTAACAATGTCTACTGCACAGAGGCATTTCCATGTGGCGAAATTAAATCCTCACCTTACACTGTACACAAACCTGTGTACAGAATTAGAGAATCAGTGACATTTCAAGTGCATTTCTTCAAGACTGAGCATGTGATCTTTTCCCTGTAAGTGCTCGCCCAAGCTCCGTGACTCCAGGGAGCTGCTCAACTGGTACCAGTGGGTCTGTGCTATGCAGGAAAGTCAGCACAGCATTTGAGTTCAAGCTCAATCAGTGCTTGAGTCTAGAGAATAGAAACGGTGCGTTGCACAGGACTTGATAGAGATGTTCTCCTAAACCAGGGAAGGCTTTTCTGTAATGTTCTTTTGAATGCTGGACTCTCTGTTCGGAGTGGGGATGCTGCACATTGAAGCGTGTAATTTACAGTATTTTCTCCAAAATAATATTTGCTTTGACAGTGACTCATTTAAGTTGACATAGTTGAAATCCTTATATAATACATCTCTGCCTGAAAATTAATCATGTTTATAATATTCTGAGAATTAATAACACCCATTGCTCAAGTCATTAACTTAAAAAAGGAGCTTCCAAAATCTGTTCTCTGCAGTAGGGGACCACAAATAAATGAATGCTTGATAAAATAATCCAAGTAGCAGTTTAACAAGCGTAAACTTGAATGTGGCTGCAATAACACAGAACTATTGTTTAAGGGTTGGCATCAGGTTGATGAGGTGCTTATTTCAGCTACAAAGCATGCATACACATGCATAATGAACTGCAGTATGAATTATTAATGTGTTGCTTATTTAGCCTCATCTGTCTAGAAGATAATGTATCCTAACTATAATGAGTGATTGGTTTTGTACATAATTACAGTAGCAGCAGTATCTAGGAAATTTGTTCTTTCAAAGAAGGATTTCTAAAAATAATATCATCACACAAACTGAGTTGCTGCTCCATTTTATCAAAATCAAACCTACCAGGATTGAGAATATATAATAAATTAAAAGGGACAGAATCATTATTAACATCATAATTTCACACAAAGTGTTTTACTTAATCATTCATTACAGATCATGTGCTGTAAAAGCATTTGTCTCTTTGTTTGTTTGTTTTTTTTCCCTTAAGATGCTTTTCAGAGAGAGCCCTTTTTTGTAGTTAACTCTTCAGGAGACAAAAACCTCAGAAGTAAGAAGAAAAATAAAGAATATAGTGACAATTTATGTCAATTCTGACAGAATTTTAATTAAAAAAAGTTGCTACTTGATTACTTTTCATTTCTAAAACTTGTACTACTGGGACCAATCATATCTAATTTACTTCTCTCCAACTAAAAGTGGTTACTTGACAAGAACCAATAGATCAAGAGCTCATTAACCTCTGAATTACAGATCCATGGCATTTTGGAATGGTGCTACATTCTTCCCCTTTGTCAGAAAAAGGGGAGTTTTGACTCTTCAGTCAAAATATGTAAGAGCAGCACCTGTCTTTCTCACACATACCTGCATGCACCTTTTAATCGCTGACTTTCCTAGCGGTCTTTCTGCCCTTTTAGAGGGACAGTCTCTATGTTGAGAAGTCTTAGCAAGTCCTCCACCAATAAACATTTTCATCTCACAGGTCACCATAATAGAAGATAGATGTGTGAGCCACGAAAGCACCCACGATAGGCTGCTAAGGGTTCAAAGCAATATACAAATACCTTCTGTAAACTCACATCCCTGTATGGCACTGATGTGGGCACAAAATCACAGTGCGTGAGCTGAAGGCTCGGATTTCCTCTTGACTGCTTTTTAGTCTCTCCTATAGAGCAGTGCTTTCAGCTCCTCCCTTTTCCTTGCAATTTAGAAACTATGAGTTTTTTCACAACTTGAAAGATATTTATTTAGAAGCTAGTTGCTATCACAGATCAATGTTATTGAGCGCAAAGGATAAATACTCAACTACCCATAGGCATTCAGAAGCTTTATTTTAATTTCTAATGTAACAGTATCCCATTTATTAGCATCCTAAAACCTAAAAGCAGCAGTTTTACTGCTCAGCTCCTTCAGAGCAGTGATCTAGAGCAGATTTTAAACTTTTCAGTAACTTATATTAATAACTTTATTTGTGAACAAATCGCTGCTTACTGTCTTTGTCTCCTTGAGCTGAGTGCATTGGCTTTTCATTTTCCTCGAACCAAGAGGTGTTTCAGAAAGGCCAGAGCAACAGTCCAGGTTTCCATCTGACACATACAGCGTGAGCTGAGTCAAGGCCAGCTGGTCACTATAGCACAGGTCAAGGTCTGTTGCCCATACCTGATCAAACACAAACAGGTGCGTTTAAAAAAGAACAAGAAAGGTGAGATTCAGCAATTGTCATCTATTCCTACATACATGTTGAAGATGTGTACTTAAGGTTCCCTTGTGCTAGCGCCTGGCCCCAGCAAAACAGTCAGAACTCCCAAGAAACTTCAAAAAGAATTTCTCAGTGAGAACTGAAAGGTTAAGGGGAAGACAGATACCTGTGCTACCAAGGTTTTAGCAAGGATTGGTAGAAGTAAATAGATCAACTCAACAGCTGTGAAACCTGCACCACATTAAATAGGTAATTATCTAAATACTAAATATCACACCTGAATTTTTAACTGAAGAATAATTAGGGTTAAATAAAGTCAAACAAATAGGTATTTTTACATAGAAAGAGGGAAGTTCTAGGAGGCGAGGTTTAACTGAGTAAAAGAAGTAGAGAAGAGTGGGATCTGTGTGCAGGAGTACCCCAAACGAGGCACATCCATCCTGCCTGATTACACATTATTGCACCCTGCAAAGAGGTTGTGGAGTCTCCTCCATGGAGATCTTCCCAGGCGGCCTGGACATGGGCTGTGGGTGTCCCTGCTGGAGCAGGACTTGGAGCAGATGCACCCAGAAGTGCCCCTGACTCAGGCATGCTGTGGTTTGGCAGCTGCACCAAGCCTGTGAGATCCTGCAAGCCCGTACTAACAGAGGTCAATTCTCAGCCAAGAACCTGCGATATAAGCAACACGGCATTGGTTTGAGCCTTACTGACCACAAAGAAGCCCCTTGCCAAGTGGGCAGCATCTGCTCCCCGTAGTTTATTGGAGCCTGTGGGTAGCACAGATGGGTAGGAGAGAAGCCCACCCCACCTACATGCAGGTCACACTTGCAGGCAATGGTAGAAATCTCACAGAACCCCCAAGGGGATCTCAAAGTGCTAGAGCCTATGGAAGCCTGCAAGATTAGTGGAGAGTAGGAGAATGGAGCACCACAAATTCTTTCTGTGACTCTCCTCTGCCCCAACTACCTGAGCGTGGCTTTACTCATGAGTTTTTCCCGTTTAAAAATGCTCGTGCCTACTGTGCCAATGAGAAATGTTAATGCACACAAATATCTGCCCTACAGTGGACCCTTTTAAAACAAATCTAGCAGTGAATGACTTGAATAAGCCTGTGAATGTTAAATGGCATCATTATAAGGATATTAAGAGGTCAGGCAGTCAAGGCCTCTTGGTAAACTGAAGTTAATTTCTGAATCATATTCACATAGTAATGCCCTTTTTATAATGGTGAATAAATCACATCGGTAACAGTTGTTAATAACTAACTGCCAAGTATCTGGTGCTGTATTAAATATCCTATTTGTCAACTTAAATATTTCCTGCTGCACGGTATAAAATGCAAATCGGATGCTAATAGCTGACTTTGCTTAGTAAAAGGGGAATGTTCACCAATTACAGTGCTTAATTTTCTTCAATAATTTATTCTTTACCATCACTTCTGCAAGACAGGAAGGAACTTTCCTATCAATTTGTACTTTTCCAGTATGTGCTAACATTTTCAATGAGCTAACATTTTCGATGAGTAGTAATTATAAACTATCCATACAGTAAACAAGTTACATTCATTTCCATAAATATTATCAACAGATCAGCAGTAGCGAACGTGCTTTGAACCTTGTTTCAGTTGGGTTTTGGATTCTTGGTTAAAGTTTTGCCCCCACAAGAGTTGGCTAGGCCATCTAAGGAGAGCAGGGATTATTGCTATCCAAGGGCTGCTCAACTGCACAGAAAAATGAACTAGCCACTGTGAATCCAGAGCTGATACCACACCTGTGCTTCCTGAGCTCAAAGTCAACGGCAGCACTACCTGGAAACTTTGCTGATGCACAGAGAGGCAGAAGGCAAATTAGACTGAAGGTGGACCATAAAGCAGCTGAGGTGGAAAAGCACAGAAGCGAAGATGTAGTGCAACCACAGCACATCTGCATGGGTGAGAACAAAGCCTGTGTTATGACCGTGCATTGAGAATGGGTTGGGCATTTAACAGCAGATAAAGCAAACATAAGCAGTCACTGTCACAGGACAAATTCATTACACCCTGGCAGATTCAGACAAACCACACAGAACGTGGGATAGCTTGTATGTTCTGCAAAAGTTACTCAGCAAATCTTGTGTTGTCCCTAACATGGACATCAAGTACCAGGACGTGGACACCTCAGCCTTATACCCTTGCCTGCAGAACTAATGGCTCTCATCAACAGAGTGGTCTGACGGCCCTAATGTGAAACAAGGGAAGATGCCCTTTTCTCCCCTTCCCCCACCTCCTGCCTGATTCTCTCCTTCAACACTGTGCAGCTACTAATACCTACTTCAGCATCCAACCCAAGCCCTTCTACAGATATGTGATTAGTCACAGGTGCATTTTACAATAATGATATCATTGCACGTTTTGCTTTCTTAAAAACAAGGGTAGATTTCCACAGCCCTGACCATGATGGGGAGGAAGACAAACATGGCTACAACCCACCTGTCCACCTCCTTTCATTCTGGGCCCGAGCCTGAGGCTGAACCACCCCTGATGCAAGCTAAAGCAGCCAAATGGTCATTAACGCCTGCCAGCTGGGATCACCCCCAAGGAGTCTTTTGCTGGCTCAGGAGTATTGCAGAACACAGAACACAGTATTGTAGCTACGGCCCTTTCTGTCCTGGATGTGTCCCAGACCATCTCTAATACAGAGAGAAAGAAAGGAGGATCAGATGGCATGAGATTCCAGCTTTTTCCTAGCAGGGGATTCCCTTTTGCCACGGAAATCCAGAAGTACCTTTCAAACTGCCTTTGTACTGCTACAAAAACATGAGACACAGGGCCTGGGCAACTTCACATTCACGAGACTGGAACAAGATAATTTTTTTTCAATTTCGTGAGTTCGAAGGCAAGCCAGATCATTAGTAGTTAGCTGATCAAATTCTTCAATGGAATGATTTCTAAGTCTCTCTTCAGTTCGTGAAGGTCATAAGTGCTCTTTGCAAAATTACAGCAGTTAATAACAGGCAATGTTTCTGGTAGTCTCAAGCAAGGATGGAAGACCTGAGTCTGGCTGGTGGAGCCGTGTGAAGACAGGAGCTATACAGCTGCTTTATAGTGCTCTTATTCTGGAACTGGCAGTGGACATCTGTTTGCTGGCTCTATTAGTCTGGCATCTTTCACCAATAATAGATCAATATACGTTCCCAAATGGAAAGAGGTAGCTCATTATATCATACTAAGCACATGTTGGCCATATTGAAGTTAGCAGGTGTCTCTTGGGTGTAATGACCTAAAATTAACTGTAATAAACAAAGAAAAAAGCACCAGAATCCCTTCTATCCGTGTCTAAAGGATTCTAATTAGGTAGACTCCACAGTTGATGACTTCCCATTTTCTATGAAGAAGTTACCAGCCTCATGCCAAAATCACATATAGCCACTGCTTTGCAAGTGCTCTTTGGCGTGCAGAACACTAACCAAAATCAGCACAGCCAGAGCTGCCATCAGCAGATGTGGAGACAAACTGAGGGAAACCTCTCATGTTAGAGTAAGGATGGGGTAGAGCGATGCTGTGAAACAAGCAGGATGAGACACTGCTATCTGTAACAGACAACTGAAAAATCTGCTAATAGGGACGTGCATAAAAACAACAAAAACAATTCCTTAGAAACATCAGCATCTCCCTTTTTGTGGCATGTAGTTTTCAAAGCAGTCCAACAGCTCCACAGAGCTAGCGCAGGCAGAACAGACATAGCAGAAGCGCTTTGGGCTGCTCCCTGAGCAGAGCAGGCAGAAAGTTCATTTGGGTTCAACTCTAATACCACCTACTGCATTTCAGCATGATTTTCTTCAAAGTAACACAAAGCAAGTGCCAAAAGTGTCTAGAACGCCTTGAAAATCTGAGCTGGGGGTTTGCTGCCTGTTGGATTGTTGTTGTTTTATGTTAGGAATATATCTCTGTGGTTTAGAAAGCGATGTCTGTGAGGTCAGGCAGTTAATAACCAGCTGAATTATCATCTCCTCCAGGAAATCAGGAGCCATTAGTAGAAGGCCTGTGCAAGGGTCAAGTGTAAGTAAAGCTAAAACAGTGATGCAGTCTCACAGCTTAACAAATATCTGATATGTGGGTCTCTCCTCCTTATTTCAGGATGTACCCAATAAGGCATCCTTGTAAGGCTGCATGGCAAGTTAGCATAGCTTACACAGCTTTAACTTGAGATGTGGGGACTTCTGGGACACCTGCGTGTTCAGAAATCAAACTGAAGCAGAGCGCTTTTGTGAAGTCCAGAAGAGGTACTTGATTTTTCAAACAAAGGAGAGTTCAGAGGTAACCAGATTTGTGTTTTTATGCTGATTTACAATCATAAAGAAAAAGTAGAGGGCACGGGTTAAGATTTTAGATCTCAAAAGTGGTTTTAGATAAATCTGTGCTAAAAGAGCAGCTAAAAGCACATCCTGCACATCCGTCATGACTTACTGGCTGTTTTTCCAGGCTGGAGCTGCTCCGTTAGGCAGACTGCGCTTGTGGTTAAGACATCTCCAGTGACTAAAGTCACAGTGATAGTGTAATTCTTTACAACCACCGTAAAAATGCTTTGGCTTTAAAACATAAACTTAAGAAAGAAAGGAAACATAAATTCTTAAACAGCTGCTAAATTATAGCTTTTCTTTATCCACTATAATTGTTTTTATCTGCATCAAGTATCGATGTCTGCGTTACTGTAAAGAGCACACCTGCTATTTTTAAAGAAGTGGTTGAATGACACTGTAAAAATGTCAGTGAGTAAAATATTAACTCTGCTGGGGTGTTGAAAATAGAGCTCCTTCGGTGACTTCCACAACACCCAGCGCGACTACTCAGAGCAGCAGCGGTGCGGGCAGGATCCGAGGCGGCCGCCATCTGGTGGCTGCTGCCGGCATGCAGTGGTGCAGCCGGAGAACTTCAGCTCTTGGGCCCGAGCACCAAACTCTGCCCTGCTCGATTCAAAACTGCAAGGCGGTTAAGGAGAAAACCGCAGCTCTTGTTTGAAAATAACACCCCTGAATTCTGTGAGGAGAAAGAAAAAAAAAAACAACGGGAGTAATTTTGGGATGCATGTGTGAATACAGAAGAATGCATCCCTCAAAGCATTAATTAAACACTGGTTCCAGAGCTGACTGATGAGCCACACAGAGCACATCTCATCTCTAACAGAATCCCACGAGACCTTCTTCCCCACAGTTTCGCTGGAGTTACTTCCACTTCATAGTGTCCTTTGAAGACTTCTCTTTTGTGGGCATTTGGGTCAGTGCTATCCCTTTGCTCCTTACCAAGCAACGTAACTCGGTGTTCTTTTGCTATTGCTGCAAAAGGTACGGGGCTGTGTAATCCATCTGACCGCTACAAAAGGTGACTCAAAACCATGTTTCTCCAGATTACCTGACCACACATGTACGGATGTAAGTTTGTGCACTCCAGCAGCTCAACGAAACAAACTTATTCAGGTGCAGCTCCGTGACGAGCTGGGAGCAGAAAAGCTTCTAGTCAATACTACACAGTGCTTTACTTCAAAGGGTCAAGGCCGTGCTCCTAAAGATCAGTCTGAGAATGGAGTGGGAGGCAGAAGTGACTCGATCCACATCACACAGCTCATGCTTCTCCTCAGACACTGGAAACGCCGCGCATCCACGTCCCTCCCCCTGGGGAACACAGCGATGTAACAGCAACGTGTAGAAGGAAACAACACGTCGAGGGGATTTGCTTGCTAACAATCGCAATCTTTTAAAATGCTATAAGCAATGCCTTGTTGCTCACATCAAATTTATGCTACATGGCATTTAGATTTTTAAAGACTTCCAGAGTGAAGAGCCTGAAACGGAACTATGTGCCAATCTCTTCTGCTCCAGAGTCCCCTTTGTGGGAGCATGCAGGGTGAGCATGTGGGAGGCCAGGTACTGCAGCATGCAGCTGCTCAGTCTGCAAAGGCAGAAAGATGGTCTCACTTACTCGGCCCTTCACATTCCTTAAAGAGTTGTATTTATGTGGCGTGTAACTTTACAAAGGATTCAGGGATTTTTGAGTATTTAAATACTCAGACTGTACTGGTAACAGATGTTCAATGACATATTCAATTTTTAGCTTTACTGAAGATATCATGTATCAGTTGATATTTTCCATAAAATATAACTTTGAAAGAATGCCTGAGTATACTATACTTCCAGGAAATGTATCTGAGCCTTTCAGCTACTGCATTAAAACGGGCACTTCTGAAATTAGTAGCAAATGTTCTGGGAGTCTAATAGGATTTCTTGTTTGCCAAAAAAAATAGTGCTTTCAGGAGCACAATCTTTTGTGTAATCTCTCTCTCACAAGACAGATGGCATCATTAATTGCCTCTGTAACTACTTAAATTTAAAAACCTGTGCTTAAATAATGTTAAAGTTGTGGTACATGCTGACAAACAGGAAATGCTAAGGTAGAATCAGTCAGAAAGAAGGGAAGAAAGCCAAGGCAGAACAGAAAGGAATTGTAGAAGACCACAATAAACACTGATTGATTTAATGTGCCCTTGTTCATGCCAGGAAATGTCACAACTTCAGTGATGTAGGAAGCATTTCTGCATTTTGGTGAACTCCTAAATTGATCAAAGCAATTGGCAAAACTCCCACTGACTTCAGTGGGTGAAGGTGTCACCTCTTGATCTTTATAAAGCAACTTTACATGGAAGTTATTTGATATGGCTCATCCACAGTTCTGATGACAATGCCCATGTAAATACATTTTGGCATTCAAACTTTACTGCAATCTGTATTTCAAAGCTAACATTATTCTGTTTCTCTGGTTTACCACAGTCATAGCGAAATCATTTACCAAAAGCCCCATTTTTAGCCTTCTTTGTGCTTAAGATGGAATACAATTATCACAGCTCTGCCAAAGAGCCAGCTTTTGCCAGTGGATACCATATGCTAACTCTTGGGTTTTAAATACAAGCCCTGTGTTTAAAGCCTTTTCTCATACCATACAGGCCATGGTTTTCAGGTGTCCAGGAGAAACAGACACCTAAATGGATTCGAGTGCATACAGACAGGCATCTTTTGAAAGTCCAGCCATGCGGCATTGCTTATCCCATGAAGAAGAGACATGTTCCCTTTTACAGTTAAACAGTTTCTCTAACAGTAAAAGTCCTAACTGAAGACTGTAGAAGACAACAAACTCACTCAGATAAGTAGGTGAGTGCACAAACAATAACAGAAGACCTAAAAACCAAGGAGATGCCTTGGGAATAAAATAAGTAATTGAGACTTAACGCAGAGATCTTAAATTCGCATCTGCATGCAAATGCCCATTTTGAATTTGTAAACACCACTATCCATCCATCACCAACAGTAAACGTTTCACTTTATTTAAAAAGGATCTCACTTTCTTTAGTCTTCAAACACAAGGCCACTACCCAAATACTGAAAGCTCAGCCTCCTCACCCAGATCTAACTTTACTTTTAGTCTGGCATGATGCTTTCCATTTGTACATCTGTCTTAACATTCAAGCCTTTTGGCCAGTACCAACCAACTTTGCAATAAAGTAGTAATTTCAAATATATGAATCTCCCATGAGATTCCTAAAATAGGCAGCTGGGTAGGGGAAAAAAGCCTTTCTGGGGAGTTGCAATGGGAAAGGCTGTGGGGTGACTTCAGCTGGAGAACATGTGGGAATGTAATTTAAGGTATGAATCTATGGGAAACCTGGCTTCACTGTTCTGAAGTTCATTCTGTTTAAAAATAAAACCACTTAAGTATTCAAAAATGCCCTTTATTTGCTTTTCCCGGCATCTGACTTGTGAAAGAACTTAATAGATCACACTATGACAAGGAAATCTGACCTTATAAATCAAACAAATGCCAGGTTACTGTAGCACAGAAACATGCAAGATGAATATTTGGTACAAACTGTGATCAAAACTGATCATCAGATTCGTGCCAGAGGCTACATTACAGTCAGACTAGATGATCTTAGTGGTGTCTTCCAATCATAATAATTCTGCAGTTATTTCCTTAGATCCATTCTCTTACCTATTTGTTCCTTGGCATTGAAAGCAGAGTGTGCTGGGACAGTGGCCACCACTCCTCTGCTTCCCTGCCATCCACCGCAGGCAGCAGCAGATTCTGGAGTCAATACCCTTCTGCTGTCTTGATTTATTACATTATTTTTTATGTTGTCAAAAGTTCTGATACAGCAGACTGTGGTTTTACTGATGGGCTTGTAAATACTGGCAGGAAGTACTAGGGTCACTTGAGTGGTTCTGATTCTGCCATTTAAAAGACCCCATTACTCATCCACGCAGAACGCTCTCCTGGGCAGGATTCCATGGCAGCATTAATTTAATCCCTTCCATTTTGCTTAGTTATGTCTGTTGTAAGTCACAAGTTCACCACTCCAAAACTACACTGCTTTCCTAGAAGCATTTTCCTTTCTAGGAAATTTGAGGTGCTAACCTTGAAATATCATAATTTAAAATGCTCTATTGGATAGTCCAGATCCCTCAAAACTCATCTCTTCCCACATCAGTGCAACATGTGCCCATGGGGTGAAGCTTTCAGGACTGGAGAAACCACGCTGTCAGACACTACTAGAAAACTGAATTTCCTATCGTGTCACACAGTACCTGGATTTGCTGATCTTCTACAAAAACAGTCTGAAATACTCTAAAGCAAACAAATTACTAACTGCACGCACATTTGCGCTGCAGCAGAAAGTGGTGTGTGGCCTCAGGCTGCAATGACATCTCACACTGCTCTGTGAGGTGCTGAGGACTCCTATGCTATGCATACAGAGGCTTCTCAGCTTCACAAGGGTGAGGATAAAACCTTCCAGAGCCTGTGCAGCACAGGTAGAAGCCCTGCCACCACCATCCTATTTGCCAGAAGGAACCGTCAATATCATTTCTTCTCAAAGAAGAAATCTTTTTCTTTCTTCTTCATCCTCAAATTGTATCTGTACTCTTATAGAGACACAGGCTTATTCAAAATCAATTCAAAAACAATCCCTACAATTATTCTTTTGCAGAGCAAAATACAAGAGATTTGGAACATTTAGAAACTAGAATACTCTGTGTGTTCTTTGCCATGAATCATCAGCTTAGTGCAGGATGAGGTTATTTTTGGAGAAAACGCTCACTGGAAGAAGTATAAATATTTTCTTCTCATCCAGCTTTGCAAGAAGCCCTTCAGGCTTTGTCAGGTTGTTTCTCTTCGAGCAAAACATTTAAAAGGTTCCTCAGGTCCAAGGGGCAGAGCAGGTCTAAATTTTTGTTATTGTTACAGAATCACAGAATCACAGAATTGTAGGGGTTGGAAGGGACCTCCAGAGATCATCGAGTCCAACCCCCCTACCAAAGCAGTTCCCTACCGTAGGTTAAAATAATCACCGGCTCTACTTAGCTCAACGTGCCTCCTCCTCTCCTTGGAGGAGAAATAAAGTGTTCAAAAGGGCAAAGTTTTTTCTGGATAACAGTTTGGATTCAAGTAGGAAAGCAGGCGTTTCCCCATCTCACAGGGACATTATGACACATCGCATCCGATCCACTCACCTGCTGTTCCATTGTTTGTGGATGGATGAAAGTCACAAAATCAACTGAGAAGTAACCAAGCACTCCTTTCGATTTACAGGCTTCTCCAATTTTTAAGCAGAGTGAATTAAGAACTGCTGGATCAACAGAACTTTGGGGAATGGTAGTGCCAGATGATCGCAGAGGTCCGTCAGCATGGAGCTGGTCTCCTGACGACACTACTTTTATGTCGCCCGTAGGCTCTATCAGCATATCCACTGTAAGGTTTGTGACATTTTCTGAGAGTGGGAAGGCTTCTATCACACCACCTAGCAAGAAATGAATTAGCAGTTAAGCTAGTAATCAAATTCACATGTGATGCTCTTCAGAGTGCACCGAATGAAACCATCCAGCTCCTATTGTGCTCAGACATTGCAGGGAGGACTGCTATGGAGATACAGCAAGTAAAGAAATGCAATAGGAGCAGCATACCACAAATCTCTTGAAGAGAAAGATCTCCTTACATTCTCCATGAACTGCTCAACCAGTGGCTTTTGATCTGCAGATCCTTTGAAAGCAGTTCCAAACCTGAACTATATCACATATCTGACAGGAAGAATATGCTCTTGGGCAATACGACGACCTTTGGGCTGTCTGACAGCACAGCCAGAAGAGCACTGAAATGACATTATTGGGACCTTTGGTGAGCGGTATCTCCTGCTGGGAAGTCATCTTGGAGATTGCCACCCATACAATGGTCTGAGATGCATTGCCTGCCTTTTAGTATTCATCCACATGAGGATCTTGGTACGTAGAAGAGCTGACAACTTCTAGCATGGTTGTCTGTAGGAAAATCACAAGTGTTCTGGCTTGGTGTTCTGGATTTGCCATAACTGAATGCAACGCCACAAGCTAAGGATAAACTCATATGTAACAAAAAAACTGCTTTTATGTTAATTGGCACCGTTTTTCGCCCAAATATGTTCAAAGCTTTGCCTCACTTTTGTCTCTTCCACAGAAAAAGGGATGTACAAAACGTGTATATCCACAGCATAAGGAATAGTGGGCAGAAATCATAGGAAATTACCACCCTAAACACAAACTTCTGCAGCCTAAAATTTGGCGTGAAAATACAGGCACAAAACCACGTCAACAGAGGATGCTAACATATCTCCAACACGCTGATTTGCAGAGTCCAAGCGGCAGCTTGGTTTGCACTGCCTGTAATGGACAAACCTGGGCTCCCTTCTGAGCTCCTCATCAGTTGGATGCTGCAAAAGTGCCATGGCAGAGTTAACACACGAAGCTCTGATGAGGCCTCAGCACCACGCAAACGGAACTTTCAGCTCTCAGACTGGAACTAACCCAGGATTAAGAAGCTGATTCTTATTGAGTCAGAATTGTGTGAGAAAGGTAAGCCAGGATTAAAGCAGGTTAAATTCTTCATTGAGATGTACGACTGATAGAATAGTCGCCTACAATTCATTCGCAAATGAACGTTTGAAGCGTAATGGAGAAATAAAAGGAGATAAATATTTAAATGGGCCCAGGATTAACAAGAATATGGCATACAATATGGTATAATTACTCCTTATAACACTTAACAGCGACTTTGCAGTCTTATTTACCTTGACTAAGAAATGTTTGGAGGAATTTTTCCCATGTAGGGAATCGTTTCTCATTGACTGGCTGTACGTGCTGTGCTAAAAGGCCCGGCAGCTCCTGGGAGATCTTCACCAAAGCTGGCTCCTGCAGAAACAAATTAAATAGAACCACAAGCAATTTTACTACAGAAATGAAAACTGCTTGTGGGGTGATTAAAAACCAGGCCTCCAACAGGCAAAAAAAAAAAAAAATGTGGTTACTGTTTACCCACAGTCAGGAATCCTTTCTTTAATTTTTCTGCTTACTACTCTTCCCTCCTATTGCAAATTGTTCTTCTCTGAAAGACAGTTCCACCCCCCCGCCTTCAGCGTGGCATCTATTTCATTATAATTTATATCAATAATTTGATCTGGCAACTGAAAATGCTAAGCACTTGGTAACTGCTTAGTGATCAATACCAGCAGTCAATAACTTCTACACTGTTTATATTTTGAAACTGAACACGCTGAAATAGTCACATACACCAGACGTACTGTTACTGGCTCTTTATGTTTAAGCTGTTTTATAAGTGCAAACGCTCTCTAGTTACAATAAATAAATAAATGAGGGAAAAATCAAACACAAGTTTTTAAGATGTTTCATTCTCCAGCCTGTAACAAATTCAGAGCTGTATTTGTGCCTTCATCTACGGTAGAATTTGATCAGTCATATTAACAGATGATAAACTGGCTTTTTCCTTGTGTTAAGTTCTTCGCTATGTTATCACACAAATGAACCAACCCCATTAAATACAGAAACTAACTGCACTGCTTTTACTGCTCAGCACCGTCCCAGAAGTACACAAGCATATAAAGTGCAAGGACCCTGACTCTATTGCTTCGGGCTCCTTTCCTTGCTGCTTCATAAGCATTCTCCTGCTTCCCTTGGGTCTCTTTGCTTCTATTTTGCATCCTCCTCTCTAGCATCCTGTGCTTCAGAAGATGACCAACTCTTCCTCTGATCTTGGCACCGTCCTAAGCCACAGTCATGCTATCAGGAGCTCTGGAGGAACATGATAAAACCTTATGGCTAACATCTAGGAACTGAAAAAAGAGAAACATTCTCTTTTCACACATCAGTGAATTTAAAGAGATCGTCTTTGTCACGAAGTACATAATGTAATGCAACCAAAAATACAAATTGATGATAATCTTGCTGGAATTTATCTAACAGAATGAGGCGGATGTGCCAGTAATAAGGGATAGATTCCACGTATAGCAGACCTAGATACATCTTGCTCCTGGGCACGGTCTGCCTGTGAGACTTTGGAAGGTGACTTTCTTATGGGCTGTCCAGCCACAAAAAGGGGGGCAGGGCTCCTTTGCCCTCAATGAGGAACTGATGGTGATCATTGTGGTCTCCTATCACACACTACAGACAAAGAAAGTGGTTGACTTTAAATACCTCAGAGAAAAATGTTAAGAAATAGCTTAAGTCAGTACACCCATATACTAAATACATATAAGTTTATAGCAAAGACAAAGGACCACATAAGGAGCAAGAACCAAGTTCAAAATTTACCCAGATTCAGGTCTTACACCAATAGTTTCCTTACAGAAACAAATCTGTAACAAGAAATTAAGGGGTCTGATACCTCTGCTGACTGAAACAACAGAAAAGTGAACAAATATCAGCTGGCCTTGTCTTGTTTTGTATTCATGTTGAAATATTGCTAAGTCACAAGATCAGGTGGTTTGTTGCACACTGAAAATAAATACAGCTTTGAAGAGAGGATCTGAGCCATGATGAATGATGTGGAGCTGCTGACCTACACATCAGTTTGCACCTCTCAGTGCGTTCAGCAGTACCTCTGTCACAACGAGTCTCATCCCTGAGCCCTAATGCCTTTGGGTATTGTGCAGTGAACCTTACTGGTTCGTAAATGGAGGCTGCTGGCAAGACAGAGACCATTCACTTCACCTGTACGTACAGGAACGTCATATGCCACTACTGCCTGTCCACATGAGGGACCTCAGAGAAGACTCCTGCAGTCCTTCCTCACCAGCCTCAGTGCTCCTTGTGTCAGTGAGGTCAATTAGCACTGAAGGGAGTGCTGAGGATGAGCTCAGAGCCTGGCAGGGCCATGTGGGTGCCCATGGCTCCGGCTCAGCAGCACCCTGCAGCTGCAAGCTCCATCAGGACAAGCTGACTGTAAAATAGGCATCCAAACCAGCCACCTTACTGGATTTTTGTTTTATTTTTTTTAAACAGAAATAACTAATCCAAGGAAATCTGAGAAACGTTCTGGCAAGATCAAACCCATTGTAGCAGTGCTTTTAACAAGGCATGCCTGGATAATCAAGGTATTCACAGAAGGGAGGCAGGCAGCCGCTTCATAAGGATCAGCACCTGGAGTTCCAGCTGAAGGTTTTTTTTTTTGCAATGGTAAGCTCTAAAAAGGCAATAATCCTGATTATAGGGAGTTTTAGTAGGCAAACACCAGCCCGGATCCAACATTCCCTCACGAAGGCAAACCTTTTAAAAGGATCAGCGCTCTGTAGGCTAATTTCATTTAAATGGGACGGTGTCTCCAGCAGAGCTTACTGATGTTTTATTTCTTGATGTGGCCCCAAACAATTCAGAATCATAGGCTGAATGTAAACAGGGAGCATTTGTTTGAATCTTTCAGCTGATGTTTCTTAGCACCAGCAAAACACAAGCAGCCCAACACTGTTTACATTGTTTGGAAACCTTTAAATCTGTCCATATGTTTTGCACCTTTTTATAATGATGAGTAAGCATGAAAAATTGACACCTTTTTCCCTCTAAACACAAAATAATTTCTCACTCCTTCTGCAGGCTGAATTTTAAAAGGCTTTTTTAGAGTAGCAGTTGCAACAAAAAAATAGGACCAAATGTGGCATATGTTGAAGGCACTGATTGGAAATCTTCTTGAGAAAGATCAGTCAACAAAGAAAAGCCTGTTGAGAAGATAAGTAAATAAACAGAAAGAAGAAATAAAGTTAGACCTAGGAAGAAAGACCTAGGGACATAAAGAGGCTGCCGAGCAGAATGCATGAGAAAAACCTGGGGCTTTTTAGCTAAAAATCAGATGGAAAGGAAATTATTTAGACCTTGCAAGCAAATAGAGTGAAGAAAGTGACTCCAAATAAGTAAAGCTGACTGGGCCAAAGAAGAACAAAATGACAGATCCTCAGCAACACAAAGTACCCGTTCTTTGTTGAAGTCAATGAAGCTATGGCAATTTATGCCACTCCAACGGCGCTACGACAATTCACACCATTTATACAGCATATCCTTTACATTGTGATCACTGGAGCTATGATAACTTATTCCAGCTGCCTTGATGCGAACTGCTGCTGCCCAGCTTATCCTTATGATCTCAGCAACACCAGCAGCCATGGCAATATTAGAAAGGTCCGGTAGCTGCTTTTGAACTGCAGCCCAAATACATGCAATTATTTTCTGTTTTGCAAACTGAACCCAAATGACGTTTCCTCTAATTCGTACAGGTACCTGCTGACCAGAACCACAATCTGCCCTGCTGAACAAAGCTATTTGAAATGCTTATCACAACTGGAACGCTTTCAGATGTGACATACCAACTACCCCACCTACTTAAAAGTTTGCAACCTGATTTAATGCCCGAGCGTTTCATTCTAAACTGCAAATTTTAAAATTAAAAAGTGCCATTTTTGCCTTCCTTGAGCTGGAAAAGTACGTTCTGATAGAAGGTAACATCATGTAAAACAGCCATCATTACCAAGTAACACAAATGTTTTTCGTATGTAAAATTGCTTTGTAAAATATTTGCTCCATCTGCTGAAAGTAGCAAAGACAATTTTCCCTGATAGCTAATGGCCCATTTCAGCTGTATGGCAAGCGATTCGCCGTGGCTGCGACGTGCATTAAGTAGAATGGCGAAAACAGCGCACGGAATTCTCCACTTATGCAGTATTATCTACTCACTGCTTCCTGAGAGCCCGTCCCTCATTACCACGGCCTTCGCTTTGGATCAGCACACAGGACTGGGGTTGCTTTGACTCAAGAGGCTTTTTGTCAAACCGAGGCACATATGCTACGCTTCAATCTAAAAGCACAAAACAGCCACTTTCCTTGACGACGAGAACAAGAAGGTTAGTTCTCTTTCAACTTTCCAGCACTTAAACTGCTGTTCCTTTTTTCACACCACATGGGGCCATGGTTTTCTCTTCTGGCTCATGCTGTCACTCTGCACGCTGAGGATTTCAATATATAAAGATCAAGCACTTCTTTTAATTCTAAATTCAGTTACACACGCGCGCACACAAAGCACCAAACGCTGTCCGAGTCCAAAACACCCCTCCCAATTGCTTCGGGTTCATTGTATACTCTGCTACTTACCATACCTCTATTGAAAAGCACATGTTTACATTGTGCCCCAAACTACTTCAACATCTGCTAACAGACCAATAAAAGATAAATAAACCAGGATTGTTTAGAAGGAGAGATCCTTTCTATTTCCTCTGAACGCTCCCGAACTGGCAGCAGCAATATGCTGTCGAGATCCCCTTTTGTAGATGTCGTCTCAGAGAACAATGTATGCAGGGAAATCAAAGACAAAACCACCGCAGCAAGAAGGATCCTGAAAGCTCCATCAAACAATTCTGTGGGTTTACGCACAGCGCGTTAATTGGAGATGAATACAATTTCATTAAAATTATTTTTTTTCCTACTCCAAAAAATACCCTATGCGCCCTGCTATTTTATGCGTAAAGGTATCTATTTGGCAAAAAGTGGCCTTCGTTTTTCAAGGCTCCCCACCTGTACCTTCAGAGTGAGGAAAACGTGACACAATTTTCCTACTTTCGTAAAAGCCATTAAAAATAAATCTCATGTTTATGTCAAACACAGCATTTGGGTTCGGCAGTCTGGGTTGATTCCCCTCATACATAATGAGACAACCAATACGTGGGTGCACCTTTTCCAAATTTTAATCAATCTCTGAAAATACCATCAATTCAGATACCCTCAAATTAATACAATTTTCCTAATTAGTTTCCTTTTGCACGTTTCAAACTCCAAAAATTTTGCTCTCTTTCTTTTCTTTGCCCTCATTTCTGGCTCTTTTCTCCAAAGAAAGGATTCCAATGAATTCCAAACAA